TCTAGATTTCCGAGGACTTGTAACAGAGTGACTTAAAATTGGACTTAGAGAGTCCATAACTTTACCAAACTTAAGCCGATTCCAAAGTGGCATACCTCTAAAGACTTCTGATTCGATTCTCTAAAAATCTGCATTCAAATTTTTCAATTTAACTTTGATCAAATTTTTCACCCATTTTTATGTCAGTTATTTCTAATTTGACTTGTTTAACTTTGACCCAAAATTGAACTTCGAGAGTCCATAACTTTACCAAACTTAAGCCGATTCCAAAGCCGCATACCTCTAAACTTCTGATTCGATTCTCTTAAAATCAGCATTCAAATTTTTAAATTTAACGTTGATCAAATTTTTGACCCATTTTCATGTAAGTTATTTCTAGTTTTCCGAGGACTTGTAAAAGAGTGACTCAAAATTGGACTTAGAGTTCCATAACTTTACCAAGCTTAAGCCGATTGCAAAGTGGCATACCTCTAAAGACTTCTGATTCGATTCTCTAAAAATCTGCATTCAAATTTTTCAATTTAACTTTGATCAAATTTTTCACCCATTTTTATGTCAGTTATTTCTAATTTGACTTGTTAACTCTGACCCAAAATTGAACTTCGAGAGTCCATAACTTTACCAAACTTAAGCCGATTCCAAAGCCGCATACCTCTAAAGACTTCTGATTCGATTCTCTAAAAATCTGCATTCAAATTTTTCAATTTAACGTTGATCAAATTTTTGACCCATTTTCATGACAGTTATTTCTAGTTTTCCGAGGACTTGTAACAGAGTGACTCAAAATTGGAGAGTTCCATAACATTACCAAGCTTAAGCCGATTCCAAAGTGGCATACCTCTAAAGACTTCTGATTCGTTTCTCTAAAAATCTGCATTCAAATTTTTCAATTTAACGTTGATCAAATTTTTGACCCATTTTCATGTCAGTTATTTCTAATTTGACTTGTTTAACTTTGACCCAAAATTGAACTTCGAGAGTCCATAACTTTACCAAGCTTAAGCCGATTGCAAAGTGGCATACCTCTAAAGACTTCTGATTCGATTCTCTAAAAATCTGCATTCAAATTTTTCAATTTAACGTCGATTAATTTTTTGACCCATTTTCATGTCAGTTATTTCTAGATTTCCGAGGACTTGTAACAGAGTGACTTAAAATTGGACTTAGAGAGTCCATAACTTTACCAAACTTAAGCCGATTCCAAAGTGGCATACCTCTAAAGACTTCTGATTCGATTCTCTAAAAATCTGCATTCAAATTTTTCAATTTAACGTCGATTAATTTTTTGACCCATTTTCATGTGAGTTATTTCTAATTTTCCGATGACTTGTAAAAGAGTGACTTAAAATTGGACTTAGAGAGTCCATAACTTTACCAAACTTAAGCCGATTCCAAAGTGGCATACCTCTAAAGACTTCTGATTCGATTCTCTAAAAATCTGCATTCAAATTTTTCAATTTAACGTTGATCAAATTTTTGACCCATTTTCATGTCAGTTATTTCTAATTTGACTTGTTTAACTTTGACTCAAAATTGAACTTCGAGAGTCCATAACTTTACCAAGCTTAAGCCGATTGCAAAGTGGCATACCTCTAAAGACTTCTGATTCGATTCTCTAAAGATCTGCATTCAAATTTTTCAATTTAGCGTCGATTAATTTTTTGACCCATTTTCATGTGAGTTATTTCTAATTTTCCGATGACTTGTAAAAGAGTGACTCAAAATTGGACTTAGAGTTCCATAACTTAACCAAACTTAAGCCGATTCCAAAGTGGCATACCTCTAAAGACTTCTGATTCGATTCTCTAAAAATCTGCATTCAAATTTTTCAATTTAACTTTGATCAAATTTTTCACCCATTTTTATGTCAGTTATTTCTAATTTGACTTGTTTAACTTTGACCGAAAATTGAACTTCGAGAGTCCATAACTTTACCAAACTTAAGCCGATTCCAAAGCCGCATACCTCTAAAGACTTCTGATTCGATTCTCTAAAAATCTGTGAAAAGGTGACAGCTAAGTAGCGGAGCTTGGCTGAGTAACTGATCATATTCTTTGGGATAGAAAAGGCGTTGTGCTGCTATAATAAGCCTAGTTTTGGCGTCTTTGATTTGGAGAGCACTGTCCTTGGGAGTTGCGGGATTTGCTTGATACCAACGCATAATTCGTGCTGTTGCTCGTAGTGCCCGCGAGTAAGTCGTGAATTGTTCACATATATCACAGTTTTCAGATTCCGTGAAAAACTGCTGAACCTTCTTCTGTTCTGGAGGAGTGATAGCAGGAGCTTGGCTGCAAGGCCAATTTTCCTCTGGGATTGATAGCCATTTTGGCCCGTGCCACCATAATAGCGAGTCTTTGAGTTCGGTGGGGGTACAGCCGTTGGCTCGTATCCTACCCATCTGGGTATGCTGATGGTCTTTATATATGGTAAAACTTCGAGAAATTTGTTCCAAGTGGTCAATGTAGTTGGCTTGACACACTCGTCCCAGTCTTGACCTTCTTTCCAAAGGGATTGGAGCAGCAGTTTCGCGTGGATTACGATAGGCGTAAGCCATCCTGCCGGGTCAAACAAAGTGGATGCGTGGGATAGCATTGCTCTTTTGGTGATTGTTTTGCATGGAGTGGGTGCTTTTATATTGTATTGGAACACGTCATTCTGTGCGTCCCATTTTATTCCTAGCGTCTTGGTCGTACTTGCTTCGGGCACCTCCAAAAATTCGGTATCTAACCGGTCTGCAACAGCTATATTCTCCAACAGCTTGATGTGATTTGCAGTGTTCTTTTTGAGGAGAAATCCTGCGGATTTTAGCGACGCAATAAGTTGGCTTTGGGCATTTTTTGCGTCCTCGAGAGTGTGAGCACCGGCAAGTATGTCGTCGACATAAGTTTCCTGGAGCAGGATTTGGCTTGTCCTTGGGTATTTTTCTTTGCAGTCCGTAGCCAGCTGTTGCAGCGTGCGAATTGCTAGGAATGGAGCGCAGTTTACCCCGAATGTGACCGTATTCAGCTGGAAATCTTTCATGATTGCTGATTGTTTGGGACGGAATATCAGACGCTGGAATGGGCGATCGTCCGGATGGACTAAAATTTGCCTGTACATTTTTTTCAATGTCGCCGTTAAACACGAATTTGTACAGTCTCCAATTGAGTAAGATGCCTAAAAGGTCCCCTTGGAGGACGGGGCCTTTATGGAGAACATCGTTTAATGCAAATTGAGAATGGGTTTTACGCGATGCGTTAAATACCACGCGTAATTTGGTGGATTTACTTTCGGGCCGGACGACCGCATGGTGAGGAAGGTAAAACGAGAGATATTGATTTTTCTGAATGATTTCCATGGGTGGAACTTCTGTCATGTGACCTAGGTCAATGTACTCTTGAAGGACTCGGGAGTATTCCAAATTTATGGCCTCGTCTTTAAGCAATGTTTTGTAGAGCCGAGCGTATTGCCCCATAGCGATATTTCTGGAAGAACCTAGGGACATGGTATTGGGGAATTCACTTTTGAACGGGAGGCGCACCATATATCTACCATCAGGTAACCTTTGAGTAGTGTTGACGTAATGGGTTTCGCAATTTTCGTCCACCTCGGTTACGGTTTTGGCTACGGATATTTCTTCGAGTTCCCAAAATTTTTGTAGCTGTTTTCCTACGTCTGCTGTGTCTTCTTCCACTAGAGTTGAAAAAGCATAGGCTGTGGAGGTGTTGGGGAGTGGACCACTAATTAACCACCCGAACACCGTGAGCTGAGCGAGTAGATTGTTGTCTAGGGGCGTTGTTATGCCTTCTAGAAATATCTGGGGAGTGATGTCGCTTCCCAGTACTATGTCAATTTCTGCAGCGGTTGAAAAGCTGGGATCTGCCAGATTTAATTGATCTAGACTTGGGGATTTTGGTTTCGTAACGGAAACAGACGGGAGAAGATTGGTTAGTCGTTTGAGTACGATAGCCTCAACTGGTATAGAGCACCGATCTTCCCCGTTGGTGAGTTTAAATTTGCATATTTTGGACGATGAGCTGACGTAATGACCTCCGATCCCTGAAATATTTGAGTGGCATTTTATGGTCGGCAAACTGACGCGTTTTTGAGCCTTTTCACTGATAAATGACCTTTGGGAGCCTGGGTCGATCAAAGCTCGCATGCGAATAAGTTCGCCTTTATAGGGAATGTAGACTATCGCGGTGGGTAATATCCCGTTCGGATTTTGACCCGCGTAATGTGCGTCGACTACCTGGGATTCTTGCTGTCGAGGCGGGAAATGCAGCAGAGTATGATGTCGCTTATTGCATGTGATGCATGTTTTTAAACTTTTGCATTCGTTTATTGCGTGGTTAGAAGCCAAACAATTGATGCATATTTTTGCTGTTTGAGTGTAATAATGTTCAAGTGTGCGAGGGTACTTATGCACGTGGTTATGTTGTAGTGTGTGTAATAATGTTTTAGTGTGAGCGTGCAATAATGCACGTAGTTATGTTCTGTAACTACAGGTGTGTGTGTAAATGTGAGACAGATTTTTAAATTAAAATATACCGTGCAAAGGGACTGGCTTTTTAACTTATTTGAGTTTGTGTACTTTATTATTCTTGTGGACTGTATTTATTTCCGTAAGGGTGCTGTTACCCTGATTGTACTTAAGGGAAAAAATGTAAAATTTCTTTTTAACGTGGCTTGTAGGTTAGCCACGATCATTTACCTTTTTTGGAATAGGGCGATGATTCGATGTTTGCGAGATGGACCATGAAAAGGTGACAGCTAAGTAGCGGAGCTTGCTTGCTGTGGCCTTGTGTGGATGATTGGAGTTGACGAATTGCCGGCTCAGCTCGTAGAAACTGCTGCCTGCGGTGATGGGTGAAGAGGGGATGTCGATGCTGATGCTGACGGTAAGGATGTCGTTGATGACTTCGATGATGCTGACGATGATGAGGATGCCGAGGACAACGCTCGGTTCCACAGCTAGAGAGTCGATGAGTTTTACAGGAAACTAAGAAAAAATGCGGAGCTTTTGTCTTCTCTGGTCAACGTTTTATTCGAAGTGCCCGGAAACTCTTGTAAAGGTCGAGTCCCCAGTTTTGGTTTTTACTTATTTAGGAATGGTGAGATAGGAATAATCATTGGATTATAGGCTATTTACATTGAAGTGTTTACAATGATTTATTTCAAGGGTTAGCGTGCGCTAACATGCCGCCCCCCCTGCCGGATGGCGGTTTTAAGCTTGGTTAGGCTTTTGATGGCTTCCTGCAGCTGGTGAAGCGTCTGAGATGGTGAGATACTGCGTCTCGGAGGGCGGCGTTCGGAAGTGTTCCTTGTTTTGGAACGACTCGCTCGAACGGGTCGGTTGATGCTTGGTGAAGAGCTGTCCTTTCGTGGGCTGCGCGGTTGATGTCCTTCCTTCTTTGATGCTTCTGGAGCTTCCGTGGTGGTGTAGCCGTGGTGCAGCAAAGTGTGATGCAGGTCTCCACACTTGTGACACACCTCTTTGGAATCGCATTGATGCACGCGATGTGTGGTGGCCAGGCAATTTGAGCAGTAGCCCATTCTTCGTGCGGCGCGACGGCGTTCCAGGATGCTCAGCTTGATGAATTTAGCGCATACGCGCAAAGGATGACCTTTGTGGCACATGCGGCACTTGTACATCTACGGAATTAATTACGGAATTAGTATGTGGGTATAAATGAGACAACTTTAACAGAGAGATAGAGAGAATGGGGTGGGATTTCGGTTATTGTTCAACCGAGGACGAGTTGTCTTTGATTGGGAGAGGCACGAGTTTTACAATGGGTCGCGTGAGCGGTCCACTTTGGGTTTGGAGGTCCACTGTGCGCGTATTTTGGTCTTTGCTTGGATGTAAGTGTATGACTCTTCCAAGACGCCAATGCGTGGGTGGGCAGGCGTCGTCCTTGATAATGACGATGTCATTAACTGAAAGGTTGGCTTTTGGTTGCTTCCATTTATACCTTCGGTGGAGTTCATGAAGGTATTCATGTCGCCATCGGGTGCTGAATTCTTGATGAAGAAGTTTTAGCTTCTGCCAACGGTTTAGTATGGAGAGAGATTCGTTGGGATTTTCAGGAAGCGCCGTCAACGGTGCTCCTCGAAGGAAATGACCCGGAGTTAGTGGCAGTAAGTCTTCAACATTGGATCTGGGTATGCATAGCGGACGAGAATTAAGAACGGCCTCTATTTTCGCAAGTAATGTGGCAAACTCCTCGAATGTGAATATTCTGGTACCTGCGGTTCGAGTGAAATGCTTTTTGAAGGTCTTAACAGCAGCTTCCCAGAGTCCACCCATATGGGGAGCGTGGGGGGGTATGAATTGCCACTCTAGTTCACGACTGCTGTAAAGGCTGGAAACATGATCAATTGCAGATTTCATGAACTCTGCGAAGTTTTTTGTCAGTTCTCTACTGGCGCCAAGGAAATTTCGGCCATTGTCTGACACAACCTTTTTTGGGATGCCTCTACGGCTGACAAAACGTTCGAATGCTTGCAAGAATGCCTTTGAACTAAGTTCTGAGACGGCTTCCAAGTGGACCGCTTTAGTGGAGAAACATACGAACACGGAAACGTAGCCTTTGAGAACTACCTTGGTTCGTATATTGGAGGCTTTTAAATTAAATCGACCCGCGAAGTCAACTCCGGTTATAGTGAACGCGGGAGAAAATTGTGTTCTTTCGGGGGAAGTGCGGCCATAATTTGATTTTTTGTGACTTGTTTAAAACGCGTACATGTTATACATTTGCGAATAGATGCCTTAACGAGATTGGCTAGTTTGGGGACAAAGAATTCTTGCCGAATCGCTCTTAGCATCAGCTGGTTTTGAGCATGAAGAAGAGTGCTGTGGATGAAGTCGATAAACAGGGTGGTAAGTTTCGATTTGGGTGGTAATAGTATGGGAAATCGTTCCTTGTAGGGTATGTTTGCGTTGGCTAATCTATTATTGATTCTAATTTGCCCAACGGAATCAATGATTGGGCATAAAGTACTTAAATTGATTTTGTTGGAGATAGGATGTTGGCTGAGTAACTGATCATATTCTTTGGGATAGAAAAGGCGTTGTGCTGCTATAATAAGCCTAGTTTTGGCGTCTTTGATTTGGAGAGCACTGTCCTTGGGAGTTGCGGGATTTGCTTGATACCAACGCATAATTCGTGCTGTTGCTCGTAGTGCCCGCGAGTAAGTCGTGAATTGTTCACATATATCACAGTTTTCAGATTCCGTGAAAAACTGCTGAACCTTCTTCTGTTCTGGAGGAGTGATAGCAGGAGCTTGGCTGCAAGGCCAATTTTCCTCTGGGATTGATAGCCATTTTGGCCCGTGCCACCATAATAGCGAGTCTTTGAGTTCGGTGGGGGTACAGCCGTTGGCTCGTATCCTACCCATCTGGGTATGCTGATGGTCTTTATATATGGTAAAACTTCGAGAAATTTGTTCCAAGTGGTCAATGTAGTTGGCTTGACACACTCGTCCCAGTCTTGACCTTCTTTCCAAAGGGATTGGAGCAGCAGTTTCGCGTGGATTACGATAGGCGTAAGCCATCCTGCCGGGTCAAACAAAGTGGATGCGTGGGATAGCATTGCTCTTTTGGTGATTGTTTTGCATGGAGTGGGTGCTTTTATATTGTATTGGAACACGTCATTCTGTGCGTCCCATTTTATTCCTAGCGTCTTGGTCGTACTTGCTTCGGGCACCTCCAAAAATTCGGTATCTAACCGGTCTGCAACAGCTATATTCTCCAACAGCTTGATGTGATTTGCAGTGTTCTTTTTTGAGGAGAAATCCTGCGGATTTTAGCGACGCAATAAGTTGGCTTTGGGCATTTTTTGCGTCCTCGAGAGTGTGAGCACCGGCAAGTATGTCGTCGACATAAGTTTCCTGGAGCAGGATTTGGCTTGTCCTTGGGTATTTTTCTTTGCAGTCCGTAGCCAGCTGTTGCAGCGTGCGAATTGCTAGGAATGGAGCGCAGTTTACCCCGAATGTGACCGTATTCAGCTGGAAATCTTTCATGATTGCTGATTGTTTGGGACGGAATATCAGACGCTGGAATGGGCGATCGTCCGGATGGACTAAAATTTGCCTGTACATTTTTTCAATGTCGCCGTTAAACACGAATTTGTACAGTCTCCAATTGAGTAAGATGCCTAAAAGGTCCCCTTGGAGGACGGGGCCTTTATGGAGAACATCGTTTAATGCAAATTGAGAATGGGTTTTACGCGATGCGTTAAATACCACGCGTAATTTGGTGGATTTACTTTCGGGCCGGACGACCGCATGGTGAGGAAGGTAAAACGAGAGATATTGATTTTTCTGAATGATTTCCATGGGTGGAACTTCTGTCATGTGACCTAGGTCAATGTACTCTTGAAGGACTCGGGAGTATTCCAAATTTATGGCCTCGTCTTTAAGCAATGTTTTGTAGAGCCGAGCGTATTGCCCCATAGCGATATTTCTGGAAGAACCTAGGGACATGGTATTGGGGAATTCACTTTTGAACGGGAGGCGCACCATATATCTACCATCAGGTAACCTTTGAGTAGTGTTGACGTAATGGGTTTCGCAATTTTCGTCCACCTCGGTTACGGTTTTGGCTACGGATATTTCTTCGAGTTCCCAAAATTTTTGTAGCTGTTTTCCTACGTCTGCTGTGTCTTCTTCCACTAGAGTTGAAAAAGCATAGGCTGTGGAGGTGTTGGGGAGTGGACCACTAATTAACCACCCGAACACCGTGAGCTGAGCGAGTAGATTGTTGTCTAGGGGCGTTGTTATGCCTTCTAGAAATATCTGGGGAGTGATGTCGCTTCCCAGTACTATGTCAATTTCTGCAGCGGTTGAAAAGCTGGGATCTGCCAGATTTAATTGATCTAGACTTGGGGATTTTGGTTTCGTAACGGAAACAGACGGGAGAAGATTGGTTAGTCGTTTGAGTACGATAGCCTCAACTGGTATAGAGCACCGATCTTCCCCGTTGGTGAGTTTAAATTTGCATATTTTGGACGATGAGCTGACGTAATGACCTCCGATCCCTGAAATATTTGAGTGGCATTTTATGGTCGGCAAACTGACGCGTTTTTGAGCCTTTTCACTGATAAATGACCTTTGGGAGCCTGGGTCGATCAAAGCTCGCATGCGAATAAGTTCGCCTTTATAGGGAATGTAGACTATCGCGGTGGGTAATATCCCGTTCGGATTTTGACCCGCGTAATGTGCGTCGACTACCTGGGATTCTTGCTGTCGAGGCGGGAAATGCAGCAGAGTATGATGTCGCTTATTGCATGTGATGCATGTTTTTAAACTTTTGCATTCGTTTATTGCGTGGTTAGAAGCCAAACAATTGATGCATATTTTTGCTGTTTGAGTGTAATAATGTTCAAGTGTGCGAGGGTACTTATGCACGTGGTTATGTTGTAGTGTGTGTAATAATGTTTTAGTGTGAGCGTGCAATAATGCACGTAGTTATGTTCTGTAACTACAGGTGTGTGTGTAAATGTGAGACAGATTTTTAAATTAAAATATACCGTGCAAAGGGACTGGCTTTTTAACTTATTTGAGTTTGTGTACTTTATTATTCTTGTGGACTGTATTTATTTCCGTAAGGGTGCTGTTACCCTGATTGTACTTAAGGGAAAAAATGTAAAATTTCTTTTTAACGTGGCTTGTAGGTTAGCCACGATCATTTACCTTTTTTGGAATAGGGCGATGATTCGATGTTTGCGAGATGGACCATGAAAAGGTGACAGCTAAGTAGCGGAGCTTGCTTGCTGTGGCCTTGTGTGGATGATTGGAGTTGACGAATTGCCGGCTCAGCTCGTAGAAACTGCTGCCTGCGGTGATGGGTGAAGAGGGGATGTCGATGCTGATGCTGACGGTAAGGATGTCGTTGATGACTTCGATGATGCTGACGATGATGAGGATGCCGAGGACAACGCTCGGTTCCACAGCTAGAGAGTCGATGAGTTTTACAGGAAACTAAGAAAAAATGCGGAGCTTTTGTCTTCTCTGGTCAACGTTTTATTCGAAGTGCCCGGAAACTCTTGTAAAGGTCGAGTCCCCAGTTTTGGTTTTTACTTATTTAGGAATGGTGAGATAGGAATAATCATTGGATTATAGGCTATTTACATTGAAGTGTTTACAATGATTTATTTCAAGGGTTAGCGTGCGCTAACAATCTGCATTCAAATTTTTCAATTTAACGTTGATCAAATTTTTGACCCATTTTCATGTGAGTTATTTCTAATTTTCCGATGACTTGTAAAAGAGTGACTCAAAATTGGACTTAGAGTTCCATAACTTTACCAAGCTTAAGCCGATTGCAAAGTGGCATACCTCTAAAGACTTCTGATTCGATTCTCTAAAAATCTGCATTCAAATTTTTCAATTTAACTTTGATCAAATTTTTCACCCATTTTTATGTCAGTTATTTCTAATTTGACTTGTTTAACTTTGACCCAAAATTGAACTTCGAGAGTCCATAACTTTACCAAACTTAAGCCGATTCCAAAGTGGCATACCTCTAAAGACTTCTGATTCGATTCTCTAAAAATCTGCATTCAAATTTTTCAATTTAACTTTGATCAAATTTTTCACCCATTTTCATGTCAGTTATTTCTAATTTGACTTGTTTAACGTTGTCCCAAAATAGGACTTAGAGAGTCCATAACTTAACCAAACTTAAGCCGGTTGCAAAGTGGCATACCTCTAAAGACTTCTGATTCGATTCTCTAAAAATCTGCATTCAAATTTTTCAATTTAACTTTGAGGACTTTCCGAGGACTTGTAACAGAGTGACTTAAAATTGGATTTAGAGAGTCCATAACTTTACCAAACTTAAGCCGATTCCAAAGTGGCATACCTCTAAAGACTTCTGATTCGATTCTCTAAAAATCTGCATTCAAATTTTTCAATTTAACTTTGATCAAATTTTTCACCCATTTTCATGTCAGTTATTTCTAATTTGACTTGTTTAACTTTGACCCAAAATTGAACTTCGAGAGTCCATAACTTTATCAAACTTAAGCCGATTCCAAAGTGGCATACCTCTAAAGATTTCTGATTCGATTCTCTAAAAATCTGCATTCAAATTTTTCAATTTAACGTTGATCAAATTTTTGACCCATTTTCATGTGAGTTATTTCTAATTTTCCGATGACTTGTAAAAGAGTGACTCAAAATTGGACTTAGAGTTCCATAACTTTACCAAGCTTAAGCCGATTCCAAAGTGGCATACCTCTAAAGACTTCTGATTCGATTCTCTAAAAATCTGCAAATTTTTCAATTTAACTTTGATCAAATTTTTCACCCATTTTTATGTCAGTTATTTCTAATTTGACTTGTTTTACTTTGACCCAAAATTGAACTTCGAGAGTCCATAACTTTACCAAACTTAAGCCGATTCCAAAGCCGCATACCTCTAAAGACTTCTGATTCGATTCTCTAAAAATCTGCATTCAAATTTTTCAATTTAACGTCGATTAATTTTTTGACCCATTTTCATGTGAGTTATTTCTAATTTTCCGATGACTTGTAAAGGAGTGACTCAAAATTGGACTTAGAGTTCCATAACTTAACCAAACTTAAGCCGATTGCAAAGTGGCATACCTCTAAAGACTTCTGATTCGATTCTCTAAAAATCTGCATTCAAATTTTTCAATTTAACTTTGATCAAATTTTTCACCCATTTTCATGTCAGTTATTTCTAATTTGACTTGTTTTACTTTGACCCAAAATTGAACTTCGAGAGTCCATAACTTTACCAAACTTAAGCCGATTCCAAAGCCGCATACCTCTAAAGACTTCTGATTCGATTCTCTAAAAATCTGCATTCAAATTTTTCAATTTAACGTTGATCAAATTTTTGACCCATTTTCATGTCAGGTATTTCTAGTTTTCCGAGGACTTGTAACAGAGTGACTCAAAATTGGACTTAGAGAGTCCATAACTTTACCAAACTTAAGCCGATTCCAAAGTGGCATACCTCTAAAGACTTCTGATTCGATTCTCTAAAAATCTGCATTCAAATTTTTCAATTTTACTTTGATCAAATTTTTCACCCATTTTCATGTCAGTTATTTCTAATTTGACTTGTTTAACTTTGTCCCAAAATAGGACTTAGAGAGTCCATAACTTAACCAAACTTAAGCCGATTGCAAAGTGGCATACCTCTAAAGACTTCTGATTCGATTCTCTAAAAATCTGCATTCAAATTTTTCAATTTAACTTTGAGGACTTTCCGAGGACTTGTAACAGAGTGACTTAAAATTGGACTTAGAGAGTCCATAACTTTACCAAACTTAAGCCGATTCCAAAGTGGCATACCTCTAAAGACTTCTGATTCGATTCTCTAAAAATCTGCATTCAAATTTTTCAATTTAACGTTGATTAAATTTTTGACCCATTTTCATGTCAGTTATTTCTAATTTGACTTGTTTAACTTTGACCCAAAATTGAACTTCGAGAGTCCATAACTTTACCAAGCTTAAGCCGATTGCAAAGTGGCATACCTCTAAAGACTTCTGATTCGATTCTCTAAAAATCTGCATTCAAATTTTTCAATTTAACGTTGATCAAATTTTTGACCCATTTTCATGTCAGTTATTTCTAATTTGACTTGTTTAACTTTGACCCAAAATTGAACTTCGAGAGTCCATAACTTTACCAAGCTTAAGCCGATTGCAAAGTGGCATACCTCTAAAGACTTCTGATTCGATTCTCTAAAAATCTGCATTCAAATTTTTCAATTTAACGTCGATTAATTTTTTGACCCATTTTCATGTGAGTTATTTCTAATTTTCCGATGACTTGTAAAGGAGTGACTCAAAATTGGACTTAGAGTTCCATAACTTAACCAAACTTAAGCCGATTGCAAAGTGGCATACCTCTAAAGACTTCTGATTCGATTCTCTAAAAATCTGCATTCAAATTTTTCAATTTAACTTTGATCAAATTTTTCACCCATTTTTATGTCAGTTATTTCTAATTTGACTTGTTTAACTTTGACCCAAAATTGAACTTCGAGAGTCCATAACTTTACCAAACTTAAGCCGATTCCAAAGCCGCATACCTCTAAAGACTTCTGATTCGATTCTCTAAAAATCTGCATTCAAATTTTTCAATTTAACGTTGATCAAATTTTTGACCCATTTTCATGTCAGCTATTTGTAGTTTTCCGAGGACTTGTAACAGAGTGACTCAAAATTGGACTTAGAGAGTCCATAACTTTACCAAACTTAAGCCGATTCCAAAGTGGCATACCTCTAAAGACTTCTGATTCGATTCTCTAAAAATCTGCATTCAAATTTTTCAATTTAACTTTGATCAAATTTTTCACCCATTTTCATGTCAGTTATTTCTAATTTGACTTGTTTAACGTTGTCCCAAAATAGGACTTAGAGAGTCCATAACTTTACCAAACTTAAGCCGATTCCAAAGTGGCATACCTCTAAAGACTTCTGATTCGATTCTCTAAAAATCTGCATTCAAATTTTTCAATTTAACGTTGATCAAATTTTTGACCCATTTTCATGTCAGTTATTTCTAATTTGACTTGTTTAACTTTGACCCAAAATTGAACTTCGAGAGTCCATAACTTTACCAAGCTTAAGCCGATTGCAAAGTGGCATACCTCTAAAGACTTCTGATTCGATTCTCTAAAAATCTGCATTCAAATTTTTCAATTTAACGTCGATTAATTTTTTGACCCATTTTCATGTGAGTTATTTCTAATTTTCCGATGACTTGTAAAGGAGTGACTCAAAATTGGACTTAGAGTTCCATAACTTAACCAAACTTAAGCCGATTGCAAAGTGGCATACCTCTAAAGACTTCTGATTCGATTCTCTAAAAATCTGCATTCAAATTTTTCAATTTAACGTTGATCAAATTTTTGACCCATTTTCATGTCAGTTATTTCTAATTTGACTTGTTTAACTCTGACCCAAAATTGAACTTCGAGAGTCCATAACTTTACCACGCTTAAGCCGATTGCAAAGTGGCATACCTCTAAAGACTTCTGATTCGATTCTCTAAAAATCTGCATTCAAATTTTTCAATTTAACGTCGATTAATTTTTTGACCCATTTTCATGTGAGTTATTTCTAATTTTCCGATGACTTGTAAAGGAGTGACTCAAAATTGGACTTAGAGTTCCATAACTTAACCAAACTTAAGCCGATTGCAAAGTGGCATACCTCTAAAGACTTCTGATTCGATTCTCTAAAAATCTGCATTCAAATTTTTCAATTTAACTTTGATCAAATTTTTCACCCATTTTTATGTCAGTTATTTCTAATTTGACTTGTTTAACTTTGACCCAAAATTGAACTTCGAGAGTCCATAACTTTACCAAACTTAAGCCGATTCCAAAGCCGCATACCTCTAAAGACTTCTGATTCGATTCTCTAAAAATCTGCATTCAAATTTTTCAATTTAACGTTGATCAAATTTTTGACCCATTTTCATGTCAGCTATTTGTAGTTTTCCGAGGACTTGTAACAGAGTGACTCAAAATTGGACTTAGAGAGTCCATAACTTTACCAAACTTAAGCCGATTCCAAAGTGGCATACCTCTAAAGACTTCTGATTCGATTCTCTAAAAATCTGCATTCAAATTTTTCAATTTTACTTTGATCAAATTTTTCACCCATTTTCATGTCAGTTATTTCTAATTTGACTTGTTTAACGTTGTCCCAAAATAGGACTTAGAGAGTCCATAACTTAACCAAACTTAAGCCGATTGCAAAGTGGCATACCTCTAAAGACTTCTGATTCGATTCTCTAAAAATCTGCATTCAAATTTTTCAATTTAACTTTGAGGACTTTCCGAGGACTTGTAACAGAGTGACTTAAAATTGGACTTAGAGAGTCCATAACTTTACCAAACTTAAGCCGATTCCAAAGTGGCATACCTCTAAAGACTTCTGATTCGATTCTCTAAAGATCTGCATTCAAATTTTTCAATTTAACGTTGATCAAATTTTTGACCCATTTTCATGTCAGTTATTTCTAATTTGACTTGTTTAACTTTGACCCAAAATTGAACTTCGAGAGTCCATAACTTTACCAAGCTTAAGCCGATTCCAAAGTGGCATACCTCTAAAGACTTCTGATTCGATTCTCTAAAAATCTGCATTCAAATTTTTCAATTTAACG